ACAGGAAGACTGAATTTAGATCCGGAGACTGAGATCAGAGAACCAAGTGACCAGGTTCTTGAGAGAGGGACACACCAGCCAAACCGCCAGGTCGCCAACCGGAGGAAAAGGACATGTGCTCTGGAAGTATATACCAAGGGAAGGGAGACCATAAGGCGCCTAAAGCCTGGGCAGACTAACCCTTCTGGGTTGTCAGCTGGAAGTAAGGGAGGGACTGGTAAAGAATCTGGGAAAGAAGGAAGTTGGAACGTGGGTACTGGGGTTGTGTGAACCTTGCAAGAGCAGGAGTACGTAAGTGGAAACTAATTAGGAAGGTTGTAGCTTGAGATACAAACTGAGTTACAGCAGTATCCGAAATGATAGCTTGAGATACGAACTCGGTAGCAGCAGCACAACATGTACTAGCTGGATAAAAGTTACCAAACATGCAGGTGAGTACATGTGTGGGACATGTACCATTCTGTTAGGTTTACCACAAGGATAAATACCCATGTGGCTAAAGTTTTAGGGTCTTTACACAGCATTGTTAATCTTATTAAGAGTATTAGGGTAAAGCGTGTTACAGAAATGGAGCCAGAGGATTTAAATGGGTATCTTCTATAGTTGGGTGTAGGTATGGCAGCTAGTGTGGAATCTAGAGCAGACTATTTAAATAGGTAACCAAAAGTTGCATATATAGCTAGTCGACTCTCGTTAGTTAAATAACCAGAGAGCTTAAATAGGTAATCTCCTAGTTAGGTTGCAGGTATGGTGGCTGGTGTAGAACCCAGGTGAACTACTTAAATTAGGTACCAAAAGTACACATGTGGCTAGTTGTATCCTCGTGAAATTGATGTAATATCGTAATTAACTGAATAAAGCTAAGTGCCGAGGGACCTAAGTGGTTATCTTAATATTAAAAAAAAAAACTTGTAAAAAAGGTTTTTAGAATCCCAATAATAGTTAAATTAGCCAAATTGGCTTGGTAAATCCCAAGATACTTAAAGTTAAAAGTGCAAATATAAAGATCTGCAAAGTTATTATTATATAAAGATTAATTATCTATTAGACTAGTAATTTAAACCATAAGGTTTTAGTTAACTAGCTTAGCTAGCTAACTAAAATATCAGTTAATCAGCTAAATAATAGCTATACTTCTAAAAAATTTTGATAAACTTTTTAAAAATTTTGCTTATATTTTATACTTATTTTTTGAAATTTACCAGAATCTACTATATATTAATCATTAGCTACATTAGCTAGCCAAATATATTATATTAGCTAGCTTAGCCAGCTAAACTAGCTTAGTTACAGCTACCTTAACCAACTTAAATCACTTTATTACAAAATTGGCTATTCATCAGGAAAATTAAATAAATGCAAATTTGCAAAAATCTGTATTTTTGCAGATTTTGCAGAATTTTTTGCAAAAAATTTGCAAAATTTTTTAGAATTTGAAGTTTTGCACAGAATTGCATTTAATTTCTGCATATATATATCAAATTTAAAGTTTTGAGCAGATTTTTATTTGATTTATTATTTAATTTTTTTGCAAATCTGTACAGAATTGCAATAAAAAATTTTTTCTGATATTATATAATAGTGACTTTGCAAATTTCTATGTTTACACTTTTAACTTCAAGTATCTTGAGATTTATTAAGTGATTTAACTACTATTAGGATCTTAAAAACCTCCTTTACAAGTTTTTTTTTAAAACTAGAAAAGACCTTTACTTAGTAAAACGTTTTTTAATTTTCAAAAAATTGCTTTAATTAATTATATTGTTGTTTTAATTTTATAGAGACTATAAAGACAAAAAATATACTAACTTTAAAGCAAGATCTTTTTAAAACTATCTGTTATTTAGATTTATAATTTTGTTAAAGAATTATTAAATACTAAAAAATATAAGTCTTATATCTAAAATTATTTTTATATTTACTTTATTAAATAAATTAAGAAAAAGTATTTTTTTTGCCAAATTTTATATATAAATCTAGATAAGTCAACTTATTTGATTTATATTTAATAATATTTTAAACTTCTTTAAGAGGACATATCTTATGCTTAATAATAATAATAATAATAATAATTTTAAATATAAAAGTAAAATAAATAAAGTTAAATATTCAAATTGTAGTTAGTATTACTATATAGCAAATTCTTAATTTTGATTGGCTAATAGCTAAGAATCTTTAAAAATTTGGCACATATTATATAATTGTTATAGTAAAACTTCTCTAAGTGCATACTCTATAAATGTATATTCTATATAAATTTTTTCTAAATATATAATATATCTTTGCTCTAATTTATAAGAGTGCTATATATTTTGTTTTCTATAAATATACACTCTTTTTAAGTATATATTTTGCTTTTTTTTTTTTTTATTATAGTTTCAAGATTATAGGCCAATATTTATCTGATTAGCTAATTGATTCAATTGTTTGAGTAACTAATTTATATAGTTTAAAGTACTTTTTAAAACTATAATATTTTACTAATAATAAATCACTATAAAAGCTATTTATTATTTCAAACAAATATTTATATTTATTGTTTAAAATAATTAAAAAATAATCAATATTCTCAAAAACATTATTTAAAAAACAAAATATACAACTTCTTATTTGACTGTTAAGTATATACTTAGAAAGAAAAGAACTAGATGTATTTTTGTTTAAAACTACTACTTTACTATATTAGATTTCAATAGACTTTATTATTAACTATTTACTTTAGATAAGTATAAGCTTTTTAATAAAAAATAGCCTGGTTTAGTGCTTTAGTTTATTTAGTTCTTAGTATATTTGTTTCTATTAATATAAATAAAATAAGCTTGGATTTATGAATTATAGATTGTATAGTAGATTTGGGTTTATTAATATAATATTATTTTTACTTATATTAAATATATATTCTATATAGATTAGGATCCTGTAGTCTAGTAATCTAGGCACCCAACTCTCCACAAGCAGGTTTTGAGTTTAAGTCCTAGTAGATATATTTATCTACAAATATTTATATGTGAAAAGTCCAAGTGAGTACTCATTTGAGATAGGAATTGCCAGAAAGAGATTCATTATAAAGAGATAGCACTATATATAACAAGTGGATATTACTAAAGGTTCTATTATCTGAAGGTTGTGTATATAAATCCTTAGTTAGCATAGGTAGTACCAACAATCTCTAAGGCAATATTGGAGATCTTGATTGGAAGAATAACCAGATAGTAACTAAAATTGAAGTAGTAAAAAAAGTAGTGAAATACAAAGGGACCTGTAATAAAGAATTGGCTTTATCAAATTTAAAATATCTCTGGTTTTGTATAAAACTTACTGGCCAATAAGAAGTTAAAACATGGAAGCATATACGTGTTGATAGATCTAATAAGCTCTAGTTATATCTATATAGGAGTCTTCAGATATTAAGAAGACCTAGAACTACTAATATAAGTATAGCTAGCATAAGTGCATATAGTTATAATTAAGCTACAACTGCTAAGAATTACTATAAAAAGAAACAATGCTACCCAATCATACTAAGTACTGGAAGTATATATAAAACATGTCTAGGCACCTTGTCACTATATTGAGAAATACAGTTATTAGCACAATTACTGAATTCAATATATTAAAACCTAAGTCTCAAAGTCACAAGAAACTAGCTAGTTACAGGCTTGAGATACTTATCCAATTGAGTAAAGGTAGCTGCATGGCTTGAGATATGAACTCCTGAATGTATGCTAGTAGGGATTAAGGGAAATTTCTCTGTCAGGTACATCAAACCAGAAGCAAAAAGTGCCTACTTGAAGTAATACACACCAATTTAAAAGTTAAAATAGTAAATAATATGAGTAATGTAGTAGACATATGAATACTAATTGGTAGTTAGAGAGAGAAGTACAAATTTAGGTTAGCTATATAGTGGGAGTACAAGAAGGCTCTGGTAGGTTTTAGTTATAGATAAATAGTTTGTATAACTTGATGTTCTAGTTTTAGTTCATATATATAATATATATATATATTAGCACCATCATATAGGGGGTTGTTAACAAAAATATGACTTATAGTTTTTTTTCTATTTTGAAAAAATCATGTTTAAAATTTAGTGTAACAATAACAATGATCATCTATTATTAGTAAAACCTGTTGGATTAATATGATTTAGCCAATTACATGAATACTTTATATAATTATATAGCAAGAATCAACAACCAGATTTACAATATCTAAATTTAGATCATATTTTATTGTATATAACAATTAAAAAAGCAGGCATTAACAAAAATTTTATTATATAAATTAATAATTTAAATGTTAAATTATATAGAACAATACCTGCTTTATACAATAATATTATTAACTTAATTTTGCAAAAAATGCCATAAGCTATGTTTTTATTGACAACCCTCCATATATCAATCATTTAAGTATTAAATAAAGTCTGAGGCAGATGCTACACCCTGAATATTAAAAAAAAAAATAAAAATAAATAATAATAATAATAATAATAATATATATATATATATATATATTCTATTTTTTGGATATATAAAATAAATTCTTTTGTATATATTACTAATTTATAAGCCTCTTTCTATATAGTTTTTTTTATTTTTAAGTAATAATATGGGCTAGGTGCTGCAAAAAGGGACCAAATTGACAAAACAAAAAATTTTTGAAAAATCAATTTTTATGTTATAAATCTTATAATAAATTATAAGAAAATCCAAACCTTAAAGAGCAATATAGCAAAATTTTATTAACACAACTACTTTGTGTTTTAAGTAAAAAATAGTCACAATCTTATTCTAAATTAATTTATATGAAAAAATATCTTTTGAAAAAATTGTTAATTTGGTCCCTTTTTGTAGCATCTAGCCTATATTAAATAAGACAAATTCTTAATTTTTTTTTTTTTACTCTTTTTTTTAAAAAAAATTTTTATAATATTAATTTAAACTTGTATTTTAATGACTAGTAAACCTTATATCAAATATGCCTTCAAATTTGCAAGCTCAAAAAACCAAAATACCAATATCACAATTAGTATTATCAAGCCCAATAATTCTAACACCAATATTGCAACTAACAAACTCTCCAAGTTTAGAAGTACTAGTACCAAAATTACAATTAACAAATACATTAATAATTCCAATATCAATATTGCCAAGTTCAAAAGCACTAGCACCAACATTACAATTAACAAATACACCAACTCCAGAAACTTTAGCATGAGTATCACAACTAGCAAACCTATTATTAAGCCCAAAACATTTGTTAAAGCAAATTTTTAATAACTATAATTATACTAAAACCCCAAGATCTGTATAAAGTAATTGAAATCTAAGAATCACAAAAGAATTTTTTTAGAAGAATTTATTTACAAATTCAAACATTATGTTTCATATTTATAATTATTACTATACTTCAAAAGAATAGTTGTCAATAATACTATTTTTAATAAATATTAAATTTTTTTATATTTGCTTTATATCAATATTAAAATATGCATATTAATAAATAAATATTTTAATGATATAATCTGTACAAATATAAAAATTTTTAATATAGTTATTAATTACATGGTTGTATAATAATATCAGATATGAAGAACTCTTCCCAACGATCATTTGGACCAACTTTTTAAAACCAAACTTTCAATAAAAAACAGTAAAACTATGTTAGA